GTGTTGAATCCACCTGAATATGTGCCGCTTTGATTTTTATGAATAATGAACCGAGTTTTCATCAATTGCCAGTTTTTTCAAATTGCCGCTGTTTCGCCTTTTGTATTTTCGCATCCTCGATGAGCCCAACTTGAGCTAAACTCACAAACTTTGGCGACAATCGCAAGCCAGAAACGCATAAAATGAAGAGATTTGGAACAAGGACTCCGGAACGTTTAATAGCGGCGCGCTAAACCGATGCAGTAAACGCGTGAACATTGGAAGTTTGGTGCAAAATTCCCAAACCGATTTGATTCCTTCGATGCCCTCAAAAGTTCCATAATATTCTGCCATTCGGGGTAAAGTAATGCTACCGAAACGATCAGTCTTAAGCACTTATTTGCGCTTCACCTTTGGCTGAAACACATAAAACCCAGAATGGAACACTTTTCGGCTAGTTTGGGTCGCTGAAGCTCTAATAACGGGTTAATTAATGGTGCATTTTAAGGCTCTATTTGAGAGCCACGGGTTTCAACTGTTGCCCAATATTAGTGGCTAATCAAAGACGGCTCCAATCTTCTGGATGCGCTAAGAATTTGCTCAGGATGACAAATGAAACTTTACAAATCGGTCTCCGTGCAGAATCCGGCCAGGTAGAGGCAGAAAGGCGGGTTTCCTTTAAAGAAGCTGCCGCTAAGGTGGAGGAAATTAAAAAGGCTCCGCCGTGATTTATTGTTTAATAATTAGGAGTGGGAGCGAACGCCCTGATTTTGCCAAAGCATCATCTAAAGTCGATCTTTCATCCGCAATTTACCCAGTCAGATTGGCGGCATGTGGAGGAAACAAACTGAAATTGCGATTTTTCAAACTTATTCAGAAATTCGCTACCGCTGTCCGTCTGCACTTAATTGGGATTCCATCGCTCTGTGGAAGTTTCACGTGAGTTTCTGGCGAAATTGGAAAAGTCGCGTGGCTGAACACCGTAAAATCGTACAAATAAACTCCAGCCCTATTGGCGTTCGGTAGTTAATGAAGAAAATCAGGCAAATTATGCGAGTGGAGGCTTGTTATGTCCACCATTTGCACCTGCCCAACAGAAATCCCCAGACCAAAACTATCGCAACTAATTGGCGAAAAACCGAAAATGTTTGTGCAATCTCGTCCTACCTTTAAGTCGCAGTTGGAAAGTTTGACGATCGCTTCAACTATGAAAACTTGAAGTTTTTAAATTGCAGCAAAACTGCACAGAAGTTCAATCCTGTTTCGCCTCATTATCTGCAGCAAATGTTGGCTTTCTTCAAGTCAGTGCAAAACTCTCAGTGTGCTCTAAATGCTAATTGAAACTCATTACAGAACATAACGACTTCATTCATCCTCACCCAAGTTTTCCTGGCCTAATGGAAACAATCCTGGAAATGTTAAAGGCATATTTCCTCATCAATTCCGTGCATCAGCTTGCACCGAACTGGTGAAACTCAAAAACGGAACCCATCGGCTCTAAGTCAAAGTTTTCCCAAATGAAACCCCACTTGTGGCAGCATTATGTGTATCTATGCACATTAGCTAAGGAAAACGAATTAGAGCCTCAATTTGGCCCAAACCCCACATAGAGCCACCCTTCGGCGTGTGTGCTGGCAAAGTTGAAAGGCAAATCTGTTTAAGCTGCTGGTTGAAATAAGAAGCTGAAAGTTTTCCTTTGATTAGGGCTTTAAAGTGGAAGTTGCAAGAATTTTGTTCCATCACTCCTATTAGCATCCAAAAGATGATTCTGAACTCAAAAACACCTCAAAATCAATTTGAAAAAACCCCTCCAAATGCTATCGCGTTCGACTTTGATCATTGTTTCGCCAACTCTGAAAACTGCACTTGATTAATCCTGTTTCGCCTCATTATCTGCAGCGAATGTTCATTTTCTCAGCGAATCGTACTTACAAACTTGTAAAACTGGCAAACAGAGTAAATTTTAATCGAATTCCATTGCGAACTTCATGTCCTCATTCATCAGCATCGCGTTCTTAGTTAAAACGCCTTTCAAGGCTTGGAGTTCTGCGGAAAACTCTGGCAATTTTCCACCTTCAAGTCAACCAATCATTCGCAGCAAAACATGGCCGATCATTCATCATTCACTCAATTAATCGGTGAAAAATTGCGCGCGACAAATCAAATTGCTCAAAACGCGCCCCGATTGGAAAAGTTACGCAACTGGCGATAAATTCAGCAAATGAATAGACGTTCGGAAGTTTCCAATCTTGAATTACCTGCAATATTTAATTACACCGGCATACACGTGGAGTTTCCCAGTTTCCCAACTTGCTTCAATCTTCTGCAGCTTTTAAGTGCCGTATTAATTACTCGCCGTGTTTAATATTGGCGAAGAACTTTGGGGAAAACAACAATGATAATTAACCGGAAAACTGAAGCTCTGCGTTCGCTGAGGAAAAAAACCCCGATAGTTTAAAGGAATTTTAACCCAAAGGAGCAACGCCTGGCGATGGAACATCAAACGATAATGAACCAACTATGAAAGTTGAGATGATATGCACGTGGAGGGCCGGAAACTTGTCGCAAGTTCCACTCTTTTGCAGCTCAAAGTTTCGTTTACCGACTTACTGGGCTCCCATTTAGTAATTAATATTCTATTAGCGAGAGAAACCGCTTTTATATGGAAAATATGAGCCGCACTCGCCGCTTGCTTTGAGCGAGTTACTCGTTTTTTCCTCTCTGTTTGAACGTGGCGGTTAGCGTGCAAAAGCCGAAAATTAAATAGAAAGACCGCATTGTTAGAACTATTGGACAAAGTGTTTCGTTCAGTCCTCCCGCAGAAGGGCATTATGCCCTAATCATTGGTTCGTCGCCTTTATCCGAAGAAACGAGCAAATAAAGAACGTCTGTAAGGGTAGGTCAATATTCCCTTTCAACTAAAGCCTTCTTGAGGGCCTCACTCTTCGCATTCGTAAATTGCCTCTCGATCAATCCTTTTACCTTAATCGGCCCCTTTGCTCTTTCCACGTGCCAATTGAAATAACACACATTAAACATTGCTCTGGCACAAAATCAACTGTTAATTTTTACCGAAAATTGCTATTAACTTAGCGCTTCAATGGGCATTTGAAGACTTTTGCCTCCGAAGCCATCACCTGCTGTTTATGAATTTGCGCAAACATAAACTCCGCTGTTATTAAGCTGAAACTTGCAAACCAATTTCCCTGGCAAACATAATCGCTAATATCTTGCAGCCCGATGTAGTTTAGCAGGCAAAATTGCCCATACGTTCACTATTTGAGACTCAAACTCGTGCTTTGAGATACGACAAAGAAAACCTTTCAGGTTAACAGGCTGATATACGCTTAGGAATTTCCAACAAGCTCAGTTTCCTTAAGGAAAAGGCCTGAAAAGGTGGGTTAGTATCAAAAGAGATAGACTTTCGAGGATATTTCTTGAAACTAATGGGTTTTTCGGGGTTTTAAGCCGTCGTTCGGGAGAATTTCTTCCTGACGTTTCGCAAGCACGAGTAGCTTGCATCTTCAGAAGTGATTTGCTTGAACGCTTACACTGTTGTGTGGCGGCCTAAAAACCTGAAAAATCTATTAATCTCAAGGAATGGCCTCGAAAGTCTATCTCTTATTGAATTGTTTTCTTCTGGATTTTAATTGTAACGATGAGCCTTTGATGGTCATACTTGTGCTAATCGCTTCTTTAATAAAAAAAACCGTTTCATAATAAAAACTGATTTTTTTTCAAAAAAACTGAACAGCCTAAAAAATACTAAAAGTTCAACGAAAATCACGTCCAGGGCAGTTTGGCAATGCCCTTGCAACACTTTGGCGGTTTGACGCAATGCTGCAGACAAGAACAGGCATATTCCGACGCAAGAGAAACGCAGCTGGAGCATCAATTTGTCTCGCTTTGTTTATTGCGCTGTGCGGCTGCACCGACAAGGACAGGGATAGACAAATTTGATGTGTGCATTCTGGCGTCGCCGAACTCGCCCAGAAGAAAACAGGAAAAGCATTTAAATCACACAACCAATTAAATTGGGTCTTATAAAAAAAGTTGGGTCCTAGTTAAACACAAATCAAATAAATTGCAGGATTTGGAAATTCGTTTCACCTTCCCGGTATAACTTAAACATCAACTTTCATCAACAGAGATAGACTTTCGAGGGCATTTCTTGAAACTAATGGGTTTTTCGGGTTTTTAGGCCGTCGTTCGGTAGAATTTCTTCCTGACGTTTCGCAAGCACGCAGGAAGAAATTCTACCGAACGACGGCTTAAAAACCCGACAAATCTATTAGTTTCAAGGAATGGCCTCGAAAGTATATCTCTTATTGAATTGGTTTCTTCTGGATTTTAATTGTAACGATGAGCCTTTGATGGTCATACTTGTGCTAATCGCTTCTTCAATAAAAAAACCCGTTTAATAATGAACACTGATTTTTTTTCAAAAAACTAAACAGCCTAAAAAATACTAAAAGTGCAACCAAAATCAGGTCCAGGGCAGTTTGGCAATGCCCTTGCAACGCTTTGGCGGTTTGACGCAATGCTGCAGACAAGAACAGGCATATTCCGACGGGAGAGAAACGCAGCTGGAGCGATCAATTTGTCTCGCTTTGTTTATTGCGCTGTGCGGGTGCACCGACAAGGACAGGGATAGACAAATTTGATGTGTGCATTCTGGCGTCGCCGAACTCGCCCAGAAGAAAACAGGAAAAGCATTTAAACCCCACAACCAATTAAATTGGCTCTTATAAAAAAGGTTGGGTTCCAGTTAAACACAAATCAAATAAATTGCAGGATTTGGAAATTCGATTCACCTTCCCGGTCTAACTTAAACATCAAGTTTCATCAACAGAGATAGACTTTCG